TCTCTCTCTCTCTCTCTCTCTCTCTCTCTCTCTCACACACACACACACACACACACACACACACACACACACACACACATTCATTGTCCAACCCTTTGCGAGGAGGGGGAGCTGAGGCGGTGAGAGGCTGGGGAAGGGGTAGAGGCGGCTGTGAGAGGGACTGAGGGATACGAGGCCGGTCGGAGAAGGGGGAGAGGAGGAGAGTGTAAGGAGGAGAGGGCGGCAGGCGGCAGGTGAGGAGGTGGGAAAGGCGAAGCTCAGCAGAGATGGGACCCTGGCCCTAGCGGGTCCATGGGATGGGATCATTATCAGAGGGAGACGAGAAGAATCGAAATCATTTTTACCTGGGGTCAGTATTTGGGTCGGGTCGGGAGCCCTAAATCCCTTGTCCCCACCCGCATCTGTAGCCCTAGGTATGAGCCTCTCTCCGTCTCTTCCAGCCCATGGCTGGCGGGAGGGGTGAAGGGGGCGGCCTAGCTGCAGAGTAAATGGAGCGAGTCAGTATTAAAGTGCCTCTTATGCACATAGCGATCCCACGCTCCAGCGTGTCCTGCCAGGGCTGTGCTCATGCTGCCCACACCTTGCAGCCGTCGCCAAACTACTGACACAAACAGAAGGCGTTTGCACTAAGAATCGCCGCATTGACAGTGTTTCACTATCGTTTCCGGTATCCCGGTGACATCCGACAGAAATACACGGGAGCTAAAGATATAGGTAACACAACCAGGCAAGCAGCTGCGTGCAGCACTACACGCGGAAGTTCATTATCTAGGGCTTTTTGTATATTACACCATACTTTGACTGCAAACATCATTTTGGATACCTCAGTCTATGAGACTGATACCATCAGCAATCCATGTCAGATATTTTTAAGAACAAGTCGGAATTAGAGTTGCACTGCTCATACCAGGTTTAATTAAAAGATAAGAGGCGGGTTTGGTTTCACTAAATGTTTAATAGATTTTAATGACAGAAGACATCATTGTGACAATCTAGTCTGACCTCCTGCACAGAATTTCACCCAGTGATTCCTGCAGGAGACCTTCCAGTTCTCTGCTAGTGCTTTAATGTAATAGGCGGTCTATTTAAAAAAAAAATCTGAAAGGTTGCAAAGTGTTTTTTTTTCTTTTTGGATTGCTGCTAAAATGCATTTCTCATGCGTTCTGAAAAATAAGCCAGGAACACTATGTGGCTTTAAGGGGAGAAGAAATATGTGTCGATCAGCAAAGATCGCATCCAGCTTTCAAGAGCGTACTGAAATTTCAATCAACTGACTTTAGGGGGAGTTTTGTCTGCATAATGTCCGAATAAGCTATTTTAGGGCAACACCAATTCATATATGTGCTTGTAGGTGAGGTGTCCTACAATACTTTTCTCTTAGGGCCCTGTCAATGGGAGTCATCTTATTGATTTCAGTGGGAGTTGGATCAGACCCTAAAGCAAACGCCTCTTCACCAGTTATGAATCGAATTACTTTAGTATGTTTTGGATTCAGTTGGTAAACAAAATATTTTATGTCCTCCCCCCCTCCCAGGACTCCTGAGACTTGGGAAGTTTAGTATAAACTTCCCCCAAATTCGAGCTCTTTGTGTTATTATATTGCGCCAGGCAATTTGGTTTTTAAGTGCAGAGCTCATGTGTCCAATTGGATTTGTGTGCAATCGTGTATCATCTATTTTTTCGTCTTATGCTGACCTACTTGTGTGCATCTGATACTCTTAGCTATGGGTTTTAATCCTTTTAAAAGAAACATTTTGCAAAAACTAACGTCACTATTGCCTAAGACTACAGAAGATTCCCCGAGTTATCTAAAATAATACATGCATGCGTGTCAACGATTCATTCATTCATTCAATTGTATGTAGTGATCAAAATCGAGTTTGGGATCAACGAAGAAAAATGACTGGCCTAATAAAACACAGCCTCGAAGCAGAAAATAAAACCCTACGGTTTTGCCCGCTGTAGAAAAATAAGGTTATTGGGGAAAGAGTAGAGCCGTGAGGAGAACGCTTAAGGAGCCGGTAGGAAAACAGGATGGGGTTTCGGTGGTTAATAAAAGGTCATATTGCTCAGATGAAAGTAAATGAACGGATAATAAGGTGAGAAAGGCCCTTTGAAATCCAGGGGCGATGAAAACTTCTGTGGATTGTGGAGAGGATCGTATATATACAGTATGGAGACGGGACGGGAAAACGAGCCATTCAGTTCAATTATAGTGAGTTAAAAGCAGAAATCTTGCTGTAAAAGAAGCTGTCAGTAGGGACACACTCTTCCGCCTACATCCAGGAGAGGGACAGGGGACGGATGATAGAGTTATGTCAAGTAAGGCGCTCCGTTTAACTTCATTGTATGATGCAACCTGAAAATCCCTACATGTTAAGACTTACTCTAGCAGACTGCACTTGCCTTTAGTAATTATGTTTTCCAAATTAGTTCAAATCCCCAGATTTTCCACACACAAAAAGTTTTGCAATAGATGAATCTGTAGAAAGTGACGTGACTAATCCTTGGTTTTAAACAGATTAGTTATGATTCAGGAGCTTTATGTTACATGGGGCAAATCTCATCAGAAATGTTTGCTCGCAGGCTAACCGCACAGGTTTCGATTGGTAAATAACATGGGGGTCCCGATCCTGCACGTTTTACCCAGGAAAACTCCCACTGGCTTCCACAAACGGATTCCACTGGGAATTTCATCGGAGTAAGGAATTATGTCTCACTGCACCATGCAAAATCCACAGCCGGGCACCGGGAAATAGCAGAGGGCTAGCCCTGCCTCCCCTGGCCAGGCGAACAATCCTCCCACTGGACAGCTATAAACAAAATGTGGATCCCCCGTGGAGTTACGCTTTGGGTGTAACTGAGAGCAGAACTGGGCTTGTTGCCTTCAGAGCAGGGGTAGCCTGTGTTACCACTTGGCCAGTGTGCGGAGATGCTGGTTAACAGAGAGTGAACAGCCTCTGTCTCTCCTGACCATACAACCTGAACTCGCCACTGCAAGCCAACAGTGTAACTGCCCGGAAATAACACGCTAGGTACACAGTGCGAGGACACCTTTGTTACATAGTGCTTGCCGTGTAATTACATGGTCGCTACATATATAAGAAAAGATTGTTTATATGTTTTTGCCCTCGAAATAAAATGTTATCAAATACAATGATTAGCACAATGTTTATAGTCTGCATGTGAGTCCACTGCATTGTAATAAGAGTGCTTTTAAAATAATCCAGGCTTGAATATTCACACCGCACAGATACGTATTGTTTTCTCTGCTGATAAACCCTCTTTTGATATTTGCCAGCTAGCTTTCTGAGTGTTATCTTAGAGATCATTGCAAAAGAAATTTCAGAAGCCCTCTGTTTTACACCTTTAATACCGAAAATAACACTGAAGGGAATATGAAATAGTAGTTTCGAGCTGTGTCGAAATAATATTGATTGACCTTAGCGGAGCAAAACCGAGCTATCTGGTGACTCATATATATTGAAGTATCAGAGGGGTAGCCCTGTTAGTCTGGATATGTAAAAAGTAACAAAGAGTCTAGTGGCACCTTATAGACTAACAGACGTATTGGAGCATAAGCTTTCCTGGGTGAATACCCACTTCGTCAGATGCATGCATATATATTGAACAGTCTGGCTGATCCGATCCTGCCACTTTACTCATGCCATAGTTAGGGGTTTCGGGCTAGTAGCCCCATTGATTGGCTACTGACTAACCTAATATGTCAAGAAGGAATGTACTAATGTTTGCTGAACCTCAGGATTACTTACGTGAATTCCAGGCGCTCATCTGTTTAAATTGCTTCAGATTGCACTATTCCAGTTACACAAACATTGGGAGAAATTTAAAGCTTTCTGGGGAACAGAATTAAATACAATCTACAAAAGATTCTTTTCGTGAGTTTTATCGGGTATAAATTAAGTCATTTTACAGACATTCAGTTTAATCTAGACAGA